AATTCAGTGGTCCGCTTTGCAGCTGGATTTACATATTACTAGCCCCAAATGACCATTTATGGTGAGCAACTTCCCAAAACTATGGGAAATATGGACGCGAGTCTGGGGCAGATGAGATACAGTCTTCACACTAACAGGTGCAAGATGACTACACACGGTCTAACTCAGGGCAAACAGGAAAAGAGAGGTCACTTCCAGGACTCGTAGAGTGGAAAGGGAGCTCGTTTAGATCAAGAGATCGTTAGCCAAGTGGTCTTACAATCGTGGCTTGTGCTGCTGCCATGGCAAGAGCAGCGATGGAGAAGGGGACCGGTCCATGCGGGCGCGCGAGCATCTCTACTCCTGCGCTCACCAAGACCAGCACTAGCTCTCGCCACTGGCCTTTTCTATAGCCTGCGGGACCCTGGTGTCTCTTTGCTTCCCAAAGGACTCCAGCACCGCTGCCCACTCAAAACCAAAGCCAAAGCCAAACTAAACCCCTCAGTGGCCCTTGTTGGCTCTCCTGACCCCTCAGGAACCTCAGCTCCGCGACACGGCAGTCCCTGCTTTTCAGAGACTCACCGTGTCGTGGGGAACTCTGCAGGTCACCACATCCACACGCTCTCAGGGGCAGAACCGTGCCACGCTGTTCTCTAGGACACACACTTCCAGCGCCCTCATGGTTTTCTTTTCTAGCTACCCTCAAACCAGGGCAGGAAGCAGCCCTCTACTGAGTATCACTTGGTCTTCGGGTGGAAAAACTGAGATCCCGCCAGTTTTTTGTTTTTTTTGGCCCCTGTCTTTTATCGCCCTCTTTCTTTGTTTAGATCCCTCTGGGAAAAATAAAGAATGAGAGTAAAAAGCAAAACTCCCTAATTTAAGTATCTTGTGTTTGGGGGGGGGTAACGTGATTTTTCTTTTCTTTTAATGACATTTGTTTGTCATACTTTTAAAAGGAAGCGCCTAAGAAAAGGGTGCGGCCCTAGGATGAAGGTTTCTTCCGGATGATTTGTTTCTTTATGATAGCAGATGTGGCGTGTCGTATGACAGTTGAATTTTATTTACTCTGTTAGTCAATCTAACCCAATGCTAACAGACGAGATACAAGTTAGGACTGCTCGGGTCAAGCTGTTAGCAGTTAGTGGCATGTCCATCTCAATCTGGTTATGTTTTAATTGCCAAGGGCTCCCATTCTCATTGGCTGGGCATACATCTGGAGTGTGTACAGAGAAAGGGGAACAAAAGGTCATATTGTATTTGGTGGGAACGTAGAGCATAGTTTTTCCTGAGTCAAATGACGATGCTCTGGAACAGCCCATTCTTGATATAGTCAAAGATTTTTTTTCCTCCATTTTTCTTTTTTTAGAGCAATGTATACTAATAGGGCTGTTAACCAGGTAAGTACCTTTCTCCTCTTAATGGAAGGGCCTGGAAATTCATAGCCAAAGAAATAACCCAAGAACAGTGGCACCACTGTGCTCAAAATATTTTTTTTTAACGTTTGTTGGCCAGGTTCGGTGGCTCAGCCTGCCATCTCAGCACTTTGGGAGATCGAGATGAGTGGATTGCCTGAGCCCACAGGTTCAAGACCAGCCCAGGCAATTTGGCAAGACTTGGTCTCTACAATAAAAACCAAAAAAATTAGCAGGGTGTGGTAGCACATGCCTGTAGTTCCGGCTGCGTGGAGGGCCGAGGCGTTAGGATGGCCGGAGCCCAGTGGATCGACGCTGGGGTGGCCAGTGAGTGTGTGCCACTGCACTCCAGCCTGGGCGACGGAGTGAGACTCCAACTCAAAAAAAAAAAAAAAAGTTTGTAATGTTGAAAAGGAAAACATAAACACCTTTAAACCTTTAAGAAACATCAGGCTGAACTGGGTGGCTGGACTAAGACCTAGAATGAGTTATATCGGGTTAACTTATTTAAATACAATTCACAGCAGAACAACGAATGTCAAGATTTTTTTTTATCCCATTTGGAAAACCAAATTCTTATTATCTATCCTTTTTCTCGTTCTCTCTCTCTCTTCCTCCTCCATAGCATGCAGATATTTCTGAAAGCGGACTAACCCTTTTTGAGATTTACAAAAACATAGTTTTAAATGATCAAGACAGTAAGTTTCAACATCAGCTAGAGAACATGCACAATAATACTGCCTAATTTTGTACTTGTGATAAAACACGGGCTAAAATCAATCAAATGGGGGAAAAGCTGGTTGGATAAAGACCTACATCACTATTAATTTTCAGCCAGCATAGGATGGACTCAGCTAGAGAGAAACGGGTTGACAACAGGAAACTCCTATGGAAGAAAAAAATGAGCAGGAATAGGCAAAGATGAAGCGCTCTGCCATTAAAATGCTGATCTCTTTATCCTTCCAGTTTGCAAAGAAGCCTTGGGATCACCGTGTAACTAGAATTATAGCTGAGCCAAAACACTACATTCACACTCGAGAATGAGCAACACTTTGGGAACAGAATAATTGTACGTTTTATGATTTTACATTTTCTGTTACATCCACCCACTCCCCCCATCCCTTTTAAGCAAATAGGCTTTCTATTGGAAAATGTTATTTACTCATTTAGAAGGCCACCATAACACTTGGGCACTTGAGGCGCAAAAGCAGTAGCACAAAGTAGGGGAGATACTTAAAAAGTGCCAGCTGTCCAGGACTTATTGCTATTTCTCTGACAGAACACAGGTGAACACATTCATGTCTCCAAGCAAGGGAAATTCTACCTCTAGAATCTCATTACTTCTGGACTTTTTCGAACTGGCTATTATACATGAGCCTGGTTTGGGGCAAGTAACCAACATTTGCTCTAAGCCCGGTTCATCTGCTGATGTGACCCACTGACAGCTACGTAATTAACTCACTAGGGCTATTTGACCTTTCACTTGACATGAAATGAAACAGACTAAACACTGCTTTTGTACTAGATGAGTTCTAATGTCTCAACTACGTGTAACTTTTAAAAGCTGCTGAAATAAAAAATGTGTACTTATTTTCATAAAACTATATATAATTTAGTCTGTATACTCCAAAAGCCAGAGTTTCTATCATCTTTTGTTGGGATATTAAAAATATTTTTCCACCCTTTTTGAGTCTAATCATTTGGTAATGGGGTAACAGCACGATACAGAGAACGCTGAGAGGACCAAAATGTTTGCAAACAAACTTTCATTATTCTAGTTCAATCTTTCACAAACATACTGTACAGAGTCTTATATGGTATAAAACAAAGGAAAACATCTCTGTCTATTCCATTTAACACAACATCAAAATAAAGCAATTAAGACTTTGGGGGATTCAAAGGTACAAGAAAACAAAAAACGGTTATTACTAATTCCTCAGCTTTTTTTAACCGTAAACATTTGTCATTTAACAGACATAGTGTTTGATATAGTTTCCTTTGTACTGCAAATACTTTTGGTCTTTCCTCACGTAGAACAAATGAAGGATTAAAACGAACCCCATGGCATCCTCTGAAGGAGGTGCAAAGATAAAGCTCCTAGACATAGCTAGCTTATCTTTAAGAATCTATTGTTCCTGAAATTGTCACAAATAAAAATATTGAATCCCCAGCTAATGATGCTTATTTTTGGAAACAATAAATACTGTGAGGTACAATAAATCCTACAGGAATAATAACAACAAGAAACATATTAGCAGTTTCCTTTGGCAAATTTAACGGAAGTGAATGCCGATATGAACATAGAAAAAAAGTAATTACAAAACATATGAAAAATGGAAATGACATGAAAAATTAAAACAAAGGGATATTTCTAACTTAAACTGATGAGAGAAATGTTTGAGGCCATTAAATGCAGAAAAGAAATACATTCTCTGTAAATTACCGTGTATTGTTTGACAAAATACACCTTGTTTATCTTTTTTGCCCCCCTCCTCTTAAAAAAAGAAAAAAAAAAAAAGACAACAAAACATAGTCTGCAATGCACACCCTAATGGTTTTGGCTGCAGACTGAACTTGAGTAAATATCATCATTTAGTCAGTATGTTGTGGTAGCTGAGGCTGCCGATGTGGTTAACCAGCTCAGGCAACATGTGTAAACATCGGAAACAAAACAAAACAAAAAAGGTTTGGAGAATAGTCTCCCCGCCTCCCCCCCCATCTCTTTCTCACTCTCGATTGCTTGGTTTCAGGCTTGCTTTCATTTCTCTCTGACAAATCGTGTGGGGAAACACAAAACACTAAACAGTGAGAGATCCTATTTTAAACCCTCCTTCTTCTGGCATTTCAGAAAGGAGTGTTGCTCAATTCAAGTTCAGCACATGTTTTCAAAGCTTCCAAGTACTGCTGCTGTTAAACGTCTTTTGATTTTGTCTATCAAACAGGCCTGAATCATAGTACTACTGCAGAATTTGCAACAAATGAGACAGCCATACAACAGACCAACCCAGTTCAGACTTTTTTCTTCTTAAGGATAAGGGTTAGGGCCTTGGAAACGAGTGTTCAACTCTTTTACTGTATTCAGCTTTGTTCCATAGTGAGTAATTTGGGCTTTTGTATCCTGAAATATTATCCTGCCTCTAAAGAATAAATGCCTTGGCTGTTTCACACCACATAATTTTGTTTTCCTTTTATGTAACTTAACATATAAGCAAGAAGGATGCAATGTTGATTCTAATAACATTCGGCACTTGAAAGAATCACCAATTTTTTTTTTTTAAAGCGGTTTTCTGGTGGTCGACAAATTGGCCTGTGGTTATGTTGAGTGACTAATTGTATTTTCTTTTCTGGAAACTTGTGCAAAGTTGGCAGTTTTGTGTTAACACTAATACTTTTGTTTGGCATTGGTGCCCTATACTGACCGGATCATTTCTATACAAGTGAATTTTTTTTACAAAAAGACACTTACTGAAGTATGGCGATAGTTTAAGGATAAAAAAGAAGCTTGGATATTACACATCCCCTCGTAGTGTATGAAAAAAAAGTGCATGACTGGATTTATGTACTAGTACAGGACATTTAAAAAAATCAGATCTGTGCTGTAAAGCATGCCAGCACCTCTTCATCACTATATCTAACAGGTAGTAAAAACAAGACCATGTTTAAAAAAAAAAAAAAATGTGCATTAACGCTAACATAAATGAATAGAGCTAGCCAGCAAACTATTTTTTTCCTGCGTATCTAACAGCTGGATGTAACTGTAAAAATTAAACAAAAGAGTCAAACAACCATCAATACAATTGTTTTACATCAAGGGCCTCTCAAGGCTCAATATTTACAGGTGAATCTGCCATGCTTTAATTGAAGATTCTCTCGAAACCTTAAAGTTCACAAAAGACAACTATAGGAAGTTCCTTTTTGTTTCTTTTTTTTCCTTTTTTTTTTTTTTTTCCCTTTTATTTTGCAGGCAACAGTCATGGGTACAACAAATTGTCTCTTTGGGGAAGACCAAGAATTATTCTGTCAAAATGGGGGCTAGTTGCACGCACTGTGTGTGTGTGTGTGTGTGTGTGTGTTTAAAGGGGTACTCTGTATTCCTCCCCAAATTAAAGACCCCACTCCTTTCCCGAAACTATAAAGGAAAAGCGAGAAAAAAAAAAAAAAAAAAAATTCACAAGCACCTAGTGTTCATCTTTTTTTCTCTCAAGGAAAGGTGTGTGTGTGCGTAGGCAGACACAGAGACACATCCCTAGACACGCGCGCGCGCGCACACACAGACAGACACACACACCCCGAGTCCACAGGCGCACACTGACTGTGGCAGTTCAGGCACGTGGGCCGTCGGGCGAGAGCTGGCATGCGTGCTGTCCGCTGGGAGACTAATCTACGGAAGCGAAGGGCATGTTTTTGTGGAGGTTAGGGTTCTGACTGTGCCGGTTCCGGCTCCGGACCGAGGAGAACATCATATTGCAGCCCGGGACTTTGCACTTGTGCATCTCTCGCAGGTGCACCGTCTTGTAGTGCACCCGCAGGGTCCCCTTGTTGCTGTACATCTTGTGGCAGATGTTGCACATGATGCCCCCGTGGCTCCCGGCCAGGCCGCCGAACATCAGCGCGCCGGCGACCTCCGCCCCGAGGCTGCCGGGGAGGGCGGGGGCCTCGGCCTTGTGCGCCGACTCCCCGCTGTCGCTGGCCCCGTCGAGGTCGTCGAGCAGAATGCCCTCGTCGCTGCCCGCGTCGGACTCCCGGGAGGAGTGGATGCTGCTGCTGGACTGGAGGCTGGAGGTGGTGCTCAGGTCCAGGACCATGTAGTCCTCCGCCATGCCTCTCCCGTACCCGTTCAGGTGGGAGTCTTCCGTGCCCGCGGGGGAGGCGGCATCCTCCCTGACGTCGAGCCCCAGGGGGTGCTGGGCACCGTAGATCTTCACCAAAAATTCATCCCGGAGGTCCTTGCTGAGGGAGGGCTGCGGTGAGTCCAGGCCCATGTCATCGAGTTCTTTGGTCAACAGTTTACGATGCAGGTTTATGTTGGCACTGTGTCTAGGAACACAAGAGGGGAGGGGGTGGGTGCACGGGGAGGGGGGAGGGGGAGAAAAAGGAGAGCATTTTAAAATGGATTCCGCTTTCCCCAGGCATCACATAAGCACATTCACTGCTAATTACACCGTTCGGAAAGCAAGCATTTCCCTATAGCCTCAGGACCTGGGAGTTCCTGGTGGTGGTGGTGGTGGTGGTGGTGGAAGGTGCAATGAGGGGAACTTTCCATTAACATAATTTCTGTGAGAGTAAAGTTCTTCAATGGTAGGATGAAGGCAAACCCATGCAGCTTTTTCTCAATGACTGTTTTGTTTTACTATGTAGCAGCATGAGCTGCAGAGGGATCTCATAGCAGAGATTTGGGAATCTACATTAAACAGGATAAAAGGATGGAAACCTTCTGCTTGTCTGAACGGGATAATCTAAATTTACCTGAAAACAACAACAAAACTCCCTTGGAATATGGCACATACTGTATTTTGAGGTGTACAGATAATCCATTCTTTAAAAAAGTAAACAGCCAAGATAATTTAAGACTTCGAAAATAGTGAAGTCTTCCCTCTCAACCCTCTACAACATTTCAAGTTTTAGGTGGGAAAAGAGTTTGCTTAATACCCTAGCAATTTGAAAGAGGGTTATACAGACTGTCTAACAACATAAATCCCTCTTCTCAGAAGGATTTGGGATTTTAGTTAAATCCAGTAGTAAAATACATTTGCTTTTCAGAAGTTGCTGCATTTTAGAGTTGGAAATATTTTCATCAGATAATAATATTTTACAATTTAATTCTTTAAAACAAAAGCTGAAAAGAACATAAATCTGTTTTTTTAAATAAACCCATCCACCCTTTAAAAAAAAAATCACACTAAACAACAGGAAAAAAGCCAAAGGACCACAATTAAAACATAGCAAGTACAAAAAAAAAAAAAAAAAAATCAAGCATAACAATAACACAGGGACGGTCCCTCTCTTTTAACAAATGGAACTTGTATTTCTTAAACAAGCAAAACTTTTACTCTACTCACTGAGTGCTTTGCTTGTATTAAAAAAAAACAACAAAAAAAGATGGGATTTGTCCCAGGGCATCCATAGGGACACCGTGATTTACAAGGCCTGAGATGTTATCATCTATCTGAAAACATTGCCTTTGTATTTACCGCCCCCATTTATTTTTAAGGTGCTCTTGGGCATATACCTCTCTCCACATGTTTGACAGTACTTAAATTGGTGACCCTTCCAAAACACAAACTAATAAATATGCAGATAAATAAAAGCTTCTCAACACTGGTGGAAGCTCTACATCTTGGAGAAATAATTGTGATAATACAAATGACCTAAATGGCTGGCACACAGCTCAACAGACCTCCTCATTATAAGTAAAATGTACGGAAGACCAAAACGAGTCCCTCCATTTGGTGACAATCACGACTACTATTTCCTAGAGATGGTTGAGAGGTATGTGCCTCAGAGACAAGAAAGGTGGGGAAGACTTCTCCACCTTTCCACACAAGACAATATAGAGCACTCTGGGTGTTAGGGGCAGAGGGGCAGAAGCCCTCTCCACACTGCACTTAGGAAGGCTGAGCTTACCTTGTGATAATAAGATCAGCTTTCTAATCTTTTGCTAAATCGATCACAAAAGAAAGCAAGAATGAGAGACAGAGAGAGAGAAAGAGAGAGAGAGAGAGAGAGAGAGAGAGAGAGAAAACAAATTCACATTCTAGACATCTGGTTTTTTAAAAAACTTAAACAATAAAATAGGGATCTTTAAATGTTCTGATCACAAAATTATTTTCTGTCATAAGCGATCATCTCATACGCTGTCTTGATGATTTTCAGATCAGCTGCACGATCCAAAAATCGTAAATCAAATTAAGATAAACCAAATTCACAGCATCATCATCATCATCCATAAATGAGTTCTAAACAGATGCATGCAGCATGTGGGTATGTGAATGATAAACAGAAGTTGTCCCTGCAGTCCCTGCTCTGACACAGCGATTCCCCGTTTCCTTGGTGTCAGATGGCAGATGACTCCCAGTGCAGGTAGGAAATGCCTCCTGTGAAGTCTTTACTCTGATGTGTGGGTACAACACCGCCAGAGTTATCACAAGAATGTGGAAGCAGAGTTACACCATGTACTCTTACTCTATTGACAAAACAATCTGCCAGCCATAAGCAGCTCACGAAATCCTACTCCTCTGTTTATTATTTTTAACACCCTCCCCTCTTCTTAATTTCACAAGCGCACATTTTGCGGTGACTGTAATCTAGAACTCTGTGTTGCTTCTCACACATCTGCAGTTACCACTCCCCAGGTTCACTGCTGAGCAAACAGCAGCCAGACACACAGCAGTCACATCAAGACACACTGAATAAAGAATAAATTAACATTGACAAAAGGACACGCTGATCACCCAGATGGACACATCTTCCCTAAGATGACTTGTGAAATTACACATCTCCACTGATATGTTACCAGGAAGAGATTTTCTCTTCATTTCTCACTTACAGCAGTAGAAATCTGTAATCTAATTAGATGATGTACCAGCCCTCAATATCTGTCAACCAAACGATGTGCAGAAATGTGTAGACCAGCTCTGGCACTCTGTTCGACAGTGTCCCTTTTCCGCTGTCAGCAGTACTGTTGGCCTCTGCTAATATAATTACATTGACTTTTATTCAATTAAGTGCCATCCCTCGCTTTAAAAAAAAAGGCTACTTTATCAATTGATTCAGGTGTAATGCAATAATAAAGATGAACTCATGGTAGTGCATTAGCTCTGCTCTTCATAACTTCAGTACACGGGTTCATTCATGGTAGTCGATTTCCATTATGCAACCACAGTTCAAGAGAATTGATTCTTTTATGTTCATTTCTTAATCTATTTCATTTTTGTTTAATAATCCTCCTAAATGCCATATGCAAAACACTTCAAGTGGGAATGGGAAGAATGAACTGCAGGAAGTCTGCATGGTTCTCTCATGTTAGTGGGCTTGGAGATTTTCTAACAAACTCACACGGCATTCCTGGGCTGGAAAGAGGGAAAGCAAGAGAAAGAGGGGAGAAGACAAACTAAAATTCTTTAGAGAGTACCAATTCTGCCCCACAAGAGGTTAGGGTTCAGCCTTGATTTTAACAAAGACCTATTGCTGGACTCTGGAGTCAGTCAATCCAAACCATTAACTGCCATAAAATACTGTCCTCACGAGAGAGCAAGTCCTAGGGCTAACAGCAATTTGAGGAATATCACAAGTTGATTTGGATCAGCAAAACCGAGGAGGTGAAAAGAAAAGGAAGATGGAAGAGGCAGAGAAAGAACGCTCACCCACTGATAATCAGCTGCAGGAAAAGCAGCTTCTAAAAAGGGAGGCAAGGCCAGAGAGTGCTGGAAACAGAAGGACTCCCTAGTCGAGAAGTCACACTCCGGTGTATGCAGCAAATGGAAGAAAGAATCCACAAGAGAACCAGTTTGAGTTCTCCATAGGTAGAGATGATTTTTCTATAAGTAGATTTAGTGTTCTGAGTATTTATCTCCAGAAAAGAGGAAATAATAATAATTAGCAAAAATCTAGACGGTGTTAGAACTTCTTCTGTTTTACAAGAACAATGACAGTATGAAGGTTATTGCCACTTCCTTTGTTAGGAAGATGATATAGATATGTGGAAGCAAACTCCTCTTACCAAAAAAAAAAAAAAAAAAGGGACTGGGATGGAGATAGAAAACTAGTTTATAGGTAGAAGGGGTAAGAATCTGCTCTTAGTAAGTGCAGTAGTACTCATTAAGACAATGGTCCAAAACTGAGCCCCAAGATGGTCACTTACATGAAGAACACAATCTAAATCCTATTCGACCTCATATGTCCTGCAGATAAAAGTAGAATACTTTGCACACAGGAGATATCTAAAAGTATATTTATTTGCCTTCAATCAATACCATGCATGAGTCTTAAGCATGTCTCAAAATACACTGTAGATGGGAGGAAGAAGACAATGATTCCAAGGAAGGAAGCATGTAATGGAATACTTTAGAAAAGACGGTGGTGACAAAGCAAAGGGTAATTCTGATGCTATGAATACCCTAGTGTGGTGTAAGAGGATGCTACAAACTTCGGGCATGAAAAAGCCCTATAACTTGGGGCTTTGCTTGGAGTTGCAAATGTTTCCTTTGATCCTCTGTACTTTCCTTACTGTGAATTTACCAAAAGCCTCTTGAAGACTAAGGGCACTCTTAGAAGCAAGTCTTGGTTTGAGGAGGGGACGTCACCAAACCAAACTCCTTCAAATGCCAAGTGGAAGAACTCTAACTGGACTGAAGTGGATTACCAGTCTTTTTCCATTCCTTTGATAAAAACTTCAGCATGCAACCACAGAAGACGTGAAATTCATCAAATGCAGTCAAACAAATGCAAGTGCCCTTCAGAGCAAAAGTCTTGCCTTGGACTTCTATTTTTTCCATGTCTCCCTTTTCCCACTTGTCCAAATGGCCAGTTAGACTCAATGCATTGTTTAACCCATAAACACAAACAACACTATTAAAAATAAAAAATATTTTGAGGTTTGAAATCTAGCTTTAAGAAATGGAAAATTTTTTTTAAAAAATGTCACATGACCAAGTTAGAAAATCAGACTGTGGCAGTCTGAATAGTGAGTGAATCGAGCTGTAGGTTGTACGAAATGCTCAAAATCGAACTCTGAATTCTAAATCGGTTTTCAGTCATTCCAGACTTAGTGAATGGAAACAAAATACTCGGTAATTAATTATAATGCCTTTGGTGAAAAAAAAATTGAGTCTCTACTTTTGATTTGTTTTTGCTTTTATTTTCCTGCTCAATTCTGCCATTCACACATGTACATGCCCAAATTTCCCAAGATATTTTCCAGAATGATCCTAATGATGTAGCAGACACAATATATATGTATGTATGCATGTATGTACATGTGTGCATATATGTATATGGAGAGAGGTAGAGAGAGAAATTTATATCTGATCTGGGCAAAT